GAGCGACTAGACCGATGTGGTGAGTGAACTTGCGTGGGCAGTGCTGGCAATGCGGATGGTTGCGGTGAGTACAGACTTAGGCCTCCTGACACTGTTGTGAAGGTCATAGTACGATGGAATTTTAAGTAACCGATCAGGCCGATGCGTGATGCGTTTGCAATTACAAAGAGGGCTTGCTAGGGCGAACACACGTTGCTGGTTATAGGGGGGGAGGGGGGAGTAATACCCCGGCCAACAAACCCCTATTAAAATACCCTTATCGCACACTAACCCACTTTAAGTTTTTCCATTGAGGTCCCCTACTCTACCCTTGCCTATTGTCTTTTTCACGCTTTCCATTAAATAGATTTTAATTTGTAAAGGCGCCGAAAATCATTAAAAAATCCATTCGACTTTAGTAAAGTTTTTTGTTGTTTTTACAGACGCCTGAGTAAGAGGACTTTAAAAGCCTGACGTTGGAATTATGCCACTGATCCGTACTACAGTCCCCCTTAAGTAGTCATTTCTGATCGCAAGCCCATTTCAGAACTTCGATTAAACTCGATCACTGACTATGCTTTCAGTTTGTTTTTCTTTTTTTCGCTACGGTAAAAATGAGCACCAATTTTCCATCCTTTTGCTATCTGTTTGACACCTGTTGGCACACAAGTGAACCAACCCGAGAATTTAAAAGGAGCAGATGCGATCGCTGATAGGGTTTCCCGACTCCCCTTCCCGTCCTCTGCAGTTTATTCGCATTCCGTTCATTTCCCGAAAGTGATTGCATTGGAGTGTTGACGAGGATGACTTGTATGGTCGCCTAAAGGAGGACATGGGAACGGAAATCGCGAGCAATGCGTGATGCTTTACGCCAATTTCCGGGCAAATTAGGTTTAGGATTGAGGTGAGGATTAAATTTGAGTTTAGAGAGTTATTTTTAAAGTTGAGGTTAAGGTCAACGTTGAGGTTAGAGTCAGGCGTGTTTTAATGGTTAAGGCTTGGGTTCCCGTTAACTGTCGGTTTAGGGTAGAGCTAGAGTTTAATTTTATTTTGGGATTACATAACTAAGGATTTACCCTTCCTGCACTTTACCACAAGACCACCTATCTCGGGCGG